GGGAGCAGATGTCATACAGGAGCCTTTCACCATATATTAATGAAACACTACCCTAGCAAGAGCTACAAACCAGTGTTTGGCAGTGTCCTGTACAGGGATGGAGAAAGTTGCCATCATTGGAGTCTTACTGAGGGGACAGAGGTCTGCCATGCAGTTGGTATATAGATGGAGAGGATCTTGCCTCTCCCGCCTAGAGACAATAGAGAGCTTGCCTTGGAGGAGAACACACACTGACAAGCTCCCAAGCAGGAGTTTAGGGTTGCTTAATCTCCAGAGAGGCTCCCAAGCCACTATGCCTGATGTGCAATGTCTCCAGGGAAGGGCACATAAGCAGCTGCAGAGAAGTGGCCCAGGTGCAGGAGCTGTTTTGCCCTCAGTTCACCTATTCATCCATAAAGCTGCAAGACCAACTTCACTTGTGCATTTTTCTACAATTTCAGCAAAAGTGCTGCTTGACAGACAGGTCAAGGGCAAGCAAATCTGTTCAGAGCCATGACTGATTTCAGCTCTGTAACAGCTCTGAGAATAAACACCAGATTTGCAGTTTCTTACAGTCGTATTTAAGTTTGCTCTGGGTAACAGCCCTTGCAGAACTAAAAAGGGGAGAGCTTGAGCCTGCTGCTGGCAAATGACTGCATTTCAAAAGCATGGTGCCTATGCACAGGTGGCAAAGTTACCTGTCTATACCTTTTAAGCACAAAACATCAAAGGCAAATCCCACCAAACTTATCCAAACACACATCTGCTAAAGGGATAGCCATCACAAAAGCTTATTTTAAAAGAGACCTGAACTCTTCACCTTCTATTACTAACAGATTTTCTGTTACATAGTATCACACCTACACACTAACAGAGTAAATCTACTTTTGTCTTTCCATATAGCTGTAGAAGAAGTCTAGTAGCAGTTCTATTATTGTTTAGAGCCTGTAAGTTTGTAAGAGAAAAAAATCTAAACCAAACTACTGCCAATTTTAGAAAATTGCTGAATTGAAATGCTGCTGTGAACATCTTAATTTAGAAAAATACATAAATAAAGCAATTTGGGGATGAAAAAAGATGGAAGTGTCCGTCATCAGGGAATATTAAATTATAGTGCCACCCCAGCTTCACACAATTGTTGCTTAGATATTTCATACAAAGATCCCCATTGTTTAAGCAAGAGCATGGGTGCCTTACTAATCTCTCATTATATTCAATCTCTACCAGAATAATGGGTTGCAACCTGTTACCCTGCTAACAGACAATTAGCAATGTTTATATAATTTTAAATAAGGTTATTGAACACTAAACTGATAATGAAATAACTTCAGAATAAATGCTCCACTGATATTCCTAAGTCGAGTGGAAAAAAAACAACATTCTGCACTGCAAAGAGATTGAATATGCAGGGCTGAGTAAACAGACAAATGGAATTAAAAGTGTCATTAAACACATTATCTACAATAATTTATCTATATCAATATTAGGTACAGTAGCTGGTATCAAAATACCTACGTTTGCCCTGTTCCCCATGTAGGTGGCTTGTGCAGGTTGTTTTCCCTTATTGCTTGCATCATTGTGCAAATATCAAAGAGAAAGTGAAGCTGGCAAGAACACAGAGGTCTTGGAAAGGCAGCCTTTCCCAGGCAGCTTCTACAGGTGAGCAAAAGAGTTAGAGTGGGGAACAATGAAAGGACTCAAAGGAATAATGACAACTGTGAAACAATTCGCTCCCAGTCAGCTGAAGCAAGGAAGTTCTCTTCTCTCACTTTCTGTGACCCAGGAACAGAGGGATGGGGAAGGAAAGGGGAAATTCACCTTGGAGTCATCCAAATTCATTCATCCATTGCAACAAATTCCAAATGCAATGCATGAACACAGAAGTCTAGAACTGACAGGACTTCAGTTTGCACAGCATCTACTGGGGGGAAGGGGAGGAACAGACTAACACCTAAGCATGTGCCCATCACAATGGCCATTCCTGAGTGTTTTGCCTTTGTAGCTGAGTGCACTGCAGGATGATAAATAATTAAGATAATATTCTTGTACCCCAGATGCCAACAAATGTCAGCATGAGATTCATCCTTCAGCTTTCTGGATGCTGTGCATGCATTATACAACACACAATTTTCAAACTGGTTAAACAAATCACAAGTGTGATCATGTCACTAAGCAAACCGAGCAGAAAGACCACCAATGTCCAGAGCAGCAACTACTTACCCAACCTGGGCATAACTGCCCCCAAGAACTGTTCATCTTCCTGAAAATGGTTTTCTTGTAGAGATTCGAGCAGTTTCTGTAAGACATCCTGTGGCACTTTGCAGCCTGTGCCCTTCAGTTCAGTGAATCGGGTCAGACGGAAGCTCTTGTCCAGTTCATAACTTTCTGGGTTAAAGGACTCCCGAACAGACATGGTTCTCTCCCACAGACTGCCGGCCTCTCCCACCCCAGAGCAATGGGATCAGTTTCTCTGCTGATCAGTCTTATTAAAAAATAAAAATAAGAATTAAAAAAAAATAATTAGAAATTCCTACGACCTGAAAGACAACATGTTTTCCACATGGCACAAGTTAAAAGAAAAAGAAAGTGCTCATTGCTGCTGTTCACCTGTTAAGACAGGTGTGCACACCTCACACAACTCATTTCCCTATGACTACAAAGGGATGACTCCTCATCCTACCTTCTGACATTTAAAACTATAACTATGTCAGGTGAATCAGAGAATTGACTTCTTTTCCAGATATGCTGTGTACGGTTTTCATTAAAAAAAGAAACTAACACAATTACCGACCTCATTTAACACAGAGGTAATGAAAGAAATAATAGTTCCCAGAGCATAGAGGCCAACTTCCAAAAGGCAGCCTGAGCCTGCAGCAGGCTCAGCAGAGACATCTGTTTGTACTCAGCTCAGTGTGCAGTCATAATTTTAGCCATTAACATATTAATATCAAAAATAAGATGCTTTTCAGATAATGGCTCTGCTTCAGTCCTGAAGTAAGAAGCTGAAGCTCCATAATACACCTGTTCTCCTTGGGAGAAAACAGCCCTGGTGTCCTATTAGTAGAGGTAGCAGAACAAGGAGGCCGTATTTAAGCAAAGAGGTTCATCTACAAGCTCGCCAGTTTACCTTTTAGCATGTTCACATACAAAATAATGAAAAGAAAAGTTTCTTGCCTCTTCAGCCCTTTTTTAGTCAACTAATGATACGGAGATTCAGAGAATTACCCATTAAAACGGTAATGTAAAAAGACACTGATGCAATTCATTTAATAAAATTCTTAACAATGCATGTCTAATTTTAGAACGTTTTTCCACTCTGACTCACATCCACCACACTCCAAAACTAATAAGAGGCCTAACCAAGACACTGAGTTCTAATCAAGAACGGCTGTGATAAAATACAAATTATCTTTCTCAGAGAACAAGTTTTCAGGAATTACTAAAAGCAACCTGTCTAGTAGTAGTTTCTTAGAAAGCAAGGATCCTGTGTAACAGCAACAAGAACAGAGTTCAGTGGCATCACTGAAAAAACCTGATACTGATGGTCATGCCCTAATGATGTTAAGCTGAAAAGAAGAATGCAAGTGACTGGTATTTGCCAAGTTCAACTTTGCTAAATGAAGTAAAGAAGTAAATCTACAGACTGTGCTGTATCTGCCCTACACAGCACTTATTAACAAGTACATCTGTTCCATAAACCGTTAAGTCCATTTATTGACTATAATTTGTAGGAACTGAAGTTTTAAGTTCTCTGAGAACTTTTGATGTGAAGCCCAACTCCCCTTCACTGTTGTTTCCCCTCCTTCTCTGGGAGGTGTGGCACTTATTTAAAACAAATCTTCCAAAGCCTAGACTCGGGCAGAAATCCAAACTCCAGTTACAAGAACGTGTCTTGGATGAGCAATGAATTCAGTTCCTAGCTGTTGTCTTCCAGTGCAAGACACTAAGCACTTTCAATTAAAAAAAAAAAAAAAAAGTGTCTGGAAAACAACCTGTCAACAGAAATAGGAGACAAAAGATTTTTGGGGGTGGGGGGAATTTTTTCTTTTCTTCATTATTTTTTAACACTTCATTCTAATTAATTCCAGAAAATTATATAAAGCAGTTTGCCCCACAGGGGAAACATCTTCCTTCATCTAACCAATAAGTGCAATAGGCTTAGCACCCTCTGTCTATTTACACAGGGATAGATGCAGAGGCCATAGCCTACCAGGAACTTTTTGCAGCCTTGAGGACTGTAAGGACACAGTTGCCCTCTTTGAAAACCACTCGTGAAACAAACAAGATAATTTCATTTAATGGAAAACATCCCCAGTGCATGAATAGGGTAACCTTTCTAATAAAGATCTGATTAAGCTTCATGCAACTGTGTTATTCACAGACTCCCGTGGGAGCAACATTCCCCGCCAAGACCAAGTTTGGGTGGTCACAGCACCGAGCCCGGCAGAGTTCACGAAGCGTTTGGACAACTCTCAGGCACAAGGTGCGATTCTTGGGGCAGTCTTGTGCAGAGCCAGCAGCTGGACTGATGGCCCTTGTGAGTCGGAACATTCTGCAATTCTGGCAGTCCATGCAGCATTGCAATGTGAGCGACAAGCATCCCTCCCCCAGCAGCAGACAACACCTCCTAACCCAGACGTTTCTTACTTTAAAAGAGCGGCATAATAAATATTAAAAGCTAAAGTTTAACCCTTGCCTTCCTAAACAGCAGAGAGAGGAGAGCACAGGAGCGAAAAGATGGGGAGGGAGGGAGAACTGGAGCCAGGTACGTACCCCAAACAAACCCCAGCGCACCCACTGCCAGCCCGACCGCCCGAGACACGCGAGGCGAGGCGCTGTAACCACCATCGATCCGGGGAATGCGGCGGAGAGCGCTGCGGGCAGACATGGCTCCGGGACACCTTAAATTTCCAGCCGCTGCCTTTAGAGGCAAACCCGGGGCCTTCGCTGCCGCTCTTTGTGCGGCCGGAGAGGCGGCGGGGAAGAGGACGAGGAGGAAGAAGCTGCGCCCGGAGCGGCGATGGCAGCGGCCCCTTCCCGAGGTGCGGCGGGGACGGAACCCGCGGGTGTCCCGACTCCGGTGTCCCCCGTGTCCCCACGTGCAGGTACGGTGTCACCGGGGCGGGGTTCGCCCCTCGCTGGCGGGGACGGCCGGCGGGATGTTGGGAGCAGGCCCCCCCCT